TACTCTCCCCCACCTGAACGCCTACAGCGGTCTTGGCTGAGACACGCAAAAAAGTTGCACTCCCAAATATTTTTTCTGCACTCCCACAATACTCGGGCCCGTTGTCAGAAACAAAATTAGTCTTAACATTAGTCTTAACAATAACATTTTCTCGTAGACCGTCGACATCACTTTGTTTCGTATTGTTATGAGGAAATCTGCAGCGATTTTTCATTCTCGTAGCTTGGTAGCGTTTCTGTCAACGGTCTAAGAGAAAAAGTTAATGTTAAGACTAATGTTAAGACTAATTTTGTTTCTGACAACGGGCCCGAGTATTGTGGGAGTGCAGAAAAAATATTTGGGAGTGCAACTTTTTTGCGTGTCTCAGCCAAGACCGCTGTAGGCGTTCAGGTGGGGGAGAGTACGAGAGGGGTTCCCCCTCTCATTGGGCCCCAGGATACCTCCCTGGAATTTTTTTTAATTATTTAATTTTTTTGGCTGTGCAGTTTCAAAACTGACCGTGCAAATCATGGCTGCACGGCTCGCTGTCTAATACGTTGCCCTAATCTTCCCACGTCACGATACCTTATGTGAATAGACGCACGCACGCATGCACGCACGCAGCATCTGTCATAGTGGCCTGTGCAGTGCGCATATTCTTAGCCATCACAAAAAGTTCGTCGCAGGAAAAAATGCCGTGTCATACAATATATGTGGTGTAACCTATACGTTGTTTACAAGTTAAAAATCACTATGTTTAGAGCGGACATTTCGGGGACTTCCTTTGAGTGACCGTCGACTGTTAAACTATGATATGCTATAATATTATAATTACATATATATATCCGCACACGCACACACATATATGAATACATGCACCCATTCGCCGCAAACACGAGAGCGTCATAGCACGAACGTCGTTCAAAGGTTGCGTGAAGGTCACACAGACGTCACACGCTGAGGTCACACAAAGGTCATGCAGAGGTCGCGCCGCAGAGGTCGCACGCGCGCGCGTTCCCTCACCGTAGTTGATGGCTTCCATCGCGATGCCGGCCGCATCCTTGCCGTAGCCCTTCTCGTAGAGCTGCACCATCTGCACGCCAGCGTGCGTGTCGGGCGGATGCAGGGCGTTGAGGTGGCGTGTGTGCGTGCGCAGCTGCTCGACCGCTCCCGCGCGGAACGTGTCGCACGCAGCGATCAGCACACGGAAGCCATTCTCTACGAGCCAGAACGTCACCTGCAGCCGTCAATTATATACATACATATATATATATATATATATGTATATACATATATATCAGGGGTCAATAATGACAAATTTTTGTTTTTTGTTGTTGATTTTTCAACAAATTTTTTTTTAAACAATAATGTGGATATTATCTCCCATTGCATCATAACCACTCTTGCTCACTCGGCGAGGCGGTGTGGCTCGCAGGGAGAGTGGAGCTGGAGCTGCTGCTGTTTGCAGTGGGGGTGCGTGCGTGGCGGGCATACCAGCTGTATGCCGGGTCAAAGGTTATCTCGCCGAGTGTTGCGTCAATGTCCAATCTCCCAGCGAGCCACACCGCCTCGCCGAGTGAGCAACAGTGCATTAGTAGCTGCCTTTTGTTTGCAAGTTCGGCGGAGAATACGTTCGGATTGATGGCCAAGGAATGAATAATCGTGTCGTACGTTTTAATCTGTATCTCCGGATTGCTGGTGTATACGAGGAAACGATTTCGCACAATGCTAGGCGAATGTAATGTGTACGATTTGAGCTCAAGTTGGATGAGTTACGCGTAGTAAATCGTAGGTATTATAAGGCTAGTAAGTGACGAATTCCACTTGTTTATTGAAGTCACACTCCTTCCCTATTATCTACTCCTGATATAATATTAGGGGTTAATAATGATAAATTCTACTCGGCACTAAAACTGCTCAAAGTTACTCTCGCTAGGATATTTTTCGTCGGTGTTTCCGCGTGCCGCCGCGGCGGATGCATACCTTGGCGAGGTTTGTCGACTTGCCGACGCCGTTGACGCCGCAGAAGGTGACGGTGTACGGTCGTCGCGTGCGCTGGGCTTCCATGACGTCACGCAGGATGTCGACACGACGCTGAGGAAGCAGGATCTGCATGCACGCCTCCGTGAGACTCGCGCGCACAGTCGACGCCACGCCTGCAACAATCACACCATGAGACACGCGCGCACCGTCGACGCCACGCCTGCAACAATCACACCGTGAGACACGGTGGTTACCTACGCTACCACCACGATATTCAAGCAGCAGCGAGGCGCCTCCTAACATGAAACGACACCTGCACGACTGGCAGACGGCCTGCGAGGCATCCCCCAGGCGATGAGTTACCGCGAATGAAATCTGTACAGGTTTGAGGCTCCATCTATTGGCAACATCCCTCTACAGCCCACACAAGATCAAGTGCCATGACGGGCAGTCGTTACAAGGTTCCCCCAATCAATCATGTCATCAATCAATACAGTGGGTATTTATTTGTTAATATTCTCATAGCAAACCATTCTTTTTGAATAAGGAATCCATTATTTATTTATTTACATTATAATTAGCATTTATTTTTTTCACATTTTCATTGCACATCCTGCTCTCATCAATTAAATAAATTCATATCACACTTATTGTTTACTTATTTACGTGTATTCATTATTCATTAGTATGCCAACACTAACGATCTTACCACTAAACGTGCCGAGTACTTTGCCTTCCAACTTCTTTCCTACAGACTGGCACAGCTGGTCTGCTATGTCTATGGCCACGTTTTTACCTATAAGAAGAGCAGTATCAGAAAGACGTGTTAAGCTGGGTTTACACTACCGACTTTGTGTTGGCGAATTGGACGAAACTTCCCAACTATTATGTCTATACAACCGACAATCGGCAGTGCAAGCGCAAAAGTTGCACGACCAACCGATCGATAGGAACTAGTTGGAAATTGTTTGCCAATTCGGAGTTGCCGGATTGCAAAATTGGTCCAACTCACCAATTCCCCAACATAAAGTCGGTAGTGTAAACCCTGTAGGATACACCACTGGCTATACGATATATGATGCCATCCAAGCATACGTACATGATCACCTTGAAACCTTCTTACAAGACCTAAGATAAAATATTGCTTGTTTCCCCTTTACCGACCGACTCGCCAAAACGCCGCTACTCGACACATTTTATTGGCCAATTAAAACAAAACAAAAATTACTTCGTTTCGCCAAAAAAAAAATCAAATTCGTTCCGCAAAAACATATATATACACAAAACAGAATATACAATATACATACACACATCTTGTCAAAACAAAATAAAAACGATTTTTCACCTACCTACCTACTCGGTACCCTGAGAGGCGAGTAGGTAAAAGGAAAATTAACAATTTTTTAAGGGTGGCCCAACTACTGTCAGATTACCACACACGGAGACTATTATTACGGGACTATTATTTCCATGACTCAGGCTGAACAATGACCAACGAGGAGCACAGATCTGAGACGATGGAGGCAGGTGAGAAACGAGTGATTCATGTATGATTTGCAGTTATTTTAGGTTTAGTGTAATTCAGGGTTATTAGGATGCTATTTTACTTTTCACTGAAATTTAGCGGGTAGCTGCCCCCTCCCCTTGTAGGTTATGGCGCTGTACTGGATATATTAATTATGATTGTTTTTGGGTTGCTTAGTGGATGGATGGACAGATGGACGGATGCAGGCATGCATGCATTGATGGATGGATGGATAGATGGATGAATGGATGGATAGATGGATGGATGGATGGATGGATGGATGAATGGATGGATGGATGGATAGATGGATAGATGGATGGATGGATGGATGGATGGATCGATGGACGGATGGGTGGATGGATGGACGGATGGATGGTTGGACAGATGGGTGGATGGATGGACGGATGGATGGTTGGACGGATGGATGGACAGACAGATAAATGGAGAGATGGGTGGATGGATAGATAGATGGACAGACCGAAGGACGAACAGATAGAAAGATTAATGGATGGATGGCTGGATAACTGAATGGATAGAAGGATACATGGATGAATGGATTGATGCATCGATACATTGATGCATGCATGCACGAACGAACGGACAGACAGACAGAATCACAGACAGACAGATGGATGGATAAATGGATGCATGGCTGAGCGAGTTTCTCACCGATCAGATGGTCTCTCATGCGGTCAAGCACGGGCCTCATGTCCTCATCACTGATCACCTTCGATCCAACAAGACTCTTGAAAACATTAAACATTCCGAATCCTGCTGCCGGCTGACCCCTGCGATCACACAGCAACAGAGACAATATGTGAGATAGCATGCAAGCCAGCATGTGAGATAGCATGCGAGTCAGCATATGAGATAGCATGCAAGCCAGCATGTGAGTCGCTTACACTGTATACAATACACGTTATTCTAATTATTAATATTATAATGACTATTATAATAATAATAACAATAACGATTATTATAATTATAATAATATTATTATGATAATTATAATAATAATATACGTGATTCTAATTCTAATTCTAATTAAAATGTAAAAATTAAAAATTAATAAATATGCATAACAACACTATCAAGGCTTGCCCTTACTTTGCTGTTGATGCGCCCTTGCTGGGGGAACCCTTCACAGTCACTTCCTTCACAACCTCCTCCTCCTGCACCTCCTCCTCCTCCTCCTCCTCATCCGACTCTACCTCCATGCCTTTGATCTCACCTTTCATCTTTCCCACAAGTCTCACCTGAAGGTGAATCAATGGAACAACACTCACTGGGAGGTCAAACAAACGACGACAACTACTGTAAACGCTGTATATTTCGCGGTGGTTTAATTTTCGCGAATTTCGCAAACGCGTCCCCGACCGCGAAAATAACAACACGCGAAAATAACAACACGCTGTTCTTCACTGATTCGGGAATTCACCGACCGCTAAATTAACAACTCACGAAATTGTCCGTCAAGTCTGAATTTGCGAAAATATCTGTATGCGAAAAATATGGCGTATACAGTACTTGGTAACGATGGATTGCGTTACCGTGCCAACGAACAGCTGCCTACTGAGTAACGGTGCGAGGGCAACAGATGCCGAATATTGTCAGATCGCGTTACCATGACAACGAACTGATGCTGAATGCGTATTATTGGCTCGAGCTACCGTGGCGATGGACGCCAATTACATGTTTTTGGCTCGAGTTACCATGGCAACAAACAGATCCTAACCTCATGAGGTTGCTGCAGGTTAGCACACTAAATGGGGCGACTACGGAATGTTGGTTTTACTAGTATTATTTCAGGGGTAGAAATTAACTTTTGAACACAAGAGTCCGACGGACTCTCTACACTCAAAAAGAGGGAGGCCGCAGCAAAATGAGGGAGTCCGCAGTCTGAGGTTCAAAATTAAAAATATTAACAATAACGCATGTGCTTATTTTTAAGATTCATGCGGTTGCATGTCTGCCAAATTTTCTTTGGACATTGGCTGAAAAAAACGGTAATTCCGCGAGGCATTGCTCTGGAACGAACTAGTTAGTATGGCAGAATTTTCAGGGAGTCACACAGACTCCTGCATTATGTCAAATCAAGGAGTCCGACAGTAAATCAGGAAGTATTTGACTCCGGACTCGCGTTAATTTCGCACCCTGTTATTTTTACTCATATATTACTGTCACACATTACACACGCCATTACTCTGTTCTACAGTGCAATGCAACACGTTTTTATTTGAGCTGTGATTATGTAGGCGTAGCGTCATCGTGAGCTGGCTAGTGTCTGCGATCTTCTCACCCTCTCTGCGGTGATGTTCTCCAGGTTGTTCTCAGTGCCGTTCTGTTGCTGTTCTTTGTTACTGAAGTCGAGCACGTGTATGTCTTTGTTCGTTCCTCCGTGCTCCCACTGCCTCGCTTGCTTTGACTTCTTAGTCTCGACCGCGTTGGCCTTCGGGCTTTTCTTGTCGCTGTAACGCCAGCAGTGTACATAACATGCTTGTATTTAAACCTCACACACACTTGTTGCTATACATAATACCAGGAGTAGATAATAGAAGACTTATCTTCTATTATCTACTCCTGATAATACCTGTGATAGCAGTCGCCGCTAATCGAACAGGCACCCAACTATCCACAACACTTTTAGAATTTCTCTTGAGTAGAAGTTACACAGTGAAACCACCTCTATAGAACGGACGCCTCTATAGAACGGACCCCTCTATAGAACGGACACCTCTATAGATGGACATCTACCTATCAGGGTAAAAATACACGGGAGCGATGAGCGATTCGCTCTTCAAACCTCCGAAATCGCTCCCGTGAGGCTCAAAATATCTCGCGTCAAATTTTTGACAAGAGCAATTTTCCCCACAGACTTTTGAAAACGAGCTCCCGTGAAAAAAAAGAAATTCCCCCCCTGCTACCTATAAAGGAAATTTTCGGTGTTTCACATGATTGACCGTTTTAGATGTGAATGTATACATATGTATAAAAACTCAATATTACACTCTGGACTCACTGTCATCTAAAGATTACTACAGAGAGACCATGGTGGAGTTACATAGATTATCACGAAACAAGGGCTATATCATCAATCAGATGAAATGTAATAACTAACATTAAATAATTTTCTGGGATGCAATATCATCTCAATAACGATAGACACGTGTGAGATTGGCTGAAGGAAAAACCACTGAAAATACTCCAGAAAGGGAGTGCTCTGTCACCTCTGTGGTACATTCTGGTGCTACCTGAGCATCAATTTACAAAACATATTCTAACTCCCCCCCCCACAACTACACAAACTTTCTCATCAAATTAATGCTGATCACAAAACATGCACGAGACAGACTTTTCCTCTATTAACCGTGGCTGAATTTATCATCTAACTTCGAAGCCCGATCAAAAACATGCACGAGACAGACTTCTCCTCTAGTAACCTCAGCCGATCAGATCTCAAGGTTGGACCAGCTGACTAACGCTCTGTCAGAGTAATTCGAGAAATAATCCCGACATGAATAGTAGCGCACCTGAGAGCCTTCTCCTTGGGTTTTGGTCTCGGTTGCTGCTTCTCGAAGAACTTCATCCGGTTGATGAGGATCTGATCCTGCTCCGACGGAGGCGAGCCACCGTTAGCTGCGAGCGGGGCGGCGGCCATGGCAACAGGCTTCTTTGACACTGCAACACAAACTCCGTGGCTCCACAAACGCTCCCTCGCATATATGCATGGCCCCTATCCTCACACACGCACGCGTGCACTCTCTCCTGCACTCACTCACACACTCCCTCATTGTTTCTCGATCACAATACATTGCATAGTATATTTATTATTTATCCCAAAGTTTCTCACTTGCAATATTGCTTACATACACCGACTCTCACTCTCGCTGTTTCTCTCTCTCTCTCTCTCTCGCTCTCTCTCGCTCTCTCTCTCTATCGCGCTCTCTCTCTCTCGCTCTCTCTCTATATATATATATATCTCGCTCTCTCTCTCTCTCTCTCAACGAACAGCTTTACATGCATTCATTACCTTCTTTTGTGGGTTTCGGTGCTGATTTTACATCATCCTTTCTCTCTATCATGGAAGCAACTGTTTTCTGTGATTTTACGGATTGCTCGTAAGTCTTCATCTTCTTTGGGGCTTTTGCCTTACGCTTGCTCATCTCCTCAACACTCCGCAGCACCCTCTATTGGACAAAATAGGAAACATACAACTGCTTGACTGCCAAAGGCAAAGACATGGGATTATATCATGTTACTAACAGCCCTTGAATTATGAATTATGAATTAATTGTGAATTAATAATTGTGTGTTAATTGTGAATTAATTGTGAATTTGTGTCTTAATTGTGAATTATTTTGTGATTATATTTAATTATTTAGTGAATCGAGAACAGTAAATAGAGAATAGTACTTTTTTGAATAATTACTTATTATTTAAAAAAAAACCATACTAATGCAATAGAAGAGATGCTAATTCGACCCTACCGTAAATTCATCAGCAAAGGAAAAGTTTCCTATCGTGTTTCCCTCCAGCAAGTCATCCTTGTACTTGTCTCTAAACTCCAGATGTATGCAGTCAAGAAACTTGTCTATGTAGGATAATTGCAATATCTTCTGATAAGCAACCTGAAGGACAAACACTTCAGCAATCACACGTCAACATAAAGCGAAGTTACTTACAAGATTTGCGCAGTGCAAAGCTGCAGCTTTTTTTGACAAAACCAGTGCTTTTATACATTTCCATACAACTTTGTACAAACTTACCACGAATACCAGTTCAAACTCATTGTCAAGCTTGTACTGCAGAGTAAGTCCATCATAGCCGAAGGTGTTTGACCCTGTTCTCTCCTGCAAGCACACACACGCACAAGGAAATCATTTACTAAAGTGGCAATCTAAATTAATTATACATATATAAACTGATATATATATACATACAGAGTGCACAATGTCATAGTTCAGTTATTCCATGAATATCATCTATACAGTAGGTCCAGTAGTAGCCCAGTAGGGCACCCGCAAATTATTATTATATATCTATAGAGTCATACCCAAGGTCATACATAGTGTACATCTTGTGTAAATAAGTTTATGATTATAGATAACCTTATAATGACTTGGCGTTCCAAGACCATGCGACGTTTCCTAGGTCAAAATTTATGGCCATAAACAATTTATATAACAACGTGTGACCATTAATTTTCCTTGTACTGGACAATAACATGATTTTGATCTGTGAGTAAATCTTATTCTTTAACTCCCTTCCTATTTTTTTCGACTGTACACACGAGCATTATTATAGGCTTTAGACAACAAGGCACGTGTCAAATTCATACACAGCAAGTGCGCTGCATGAGAATGAAGAAATGAATAAATAAGTTTATTTGATGGCAAAACGTCAGTGAGGTGAAATTTTTATGAGTGTGTGAGCCACTTAGTAAACTAGTGAGGAAGACAGCCTTGTTCTGAATTCCCGCTACAGTGTCAGTGAATCCCACGATAAAACTTTGAACTCCTAATTTTAATCTATACACGTATCTATTCTTTAGATCATACCTCTGCATGCTAAAATTATTTAACCATGGTCAGAATGACATTGCGATCTGTACGCATATAATTAATGGAACTAAATGGTAATTATTTTACAAGCTCCATCATGTCAGAGCATGTACATCAATAATATTTGTATATAAATAAACACAAGTGGATGAGGTCACTACAAACAAAATAAGCACACAGTTCCCTTCAATGTAAAATGTCACAAAAAATGCCAATCAATCAATCAAAATAGGATGGCGAGTAAAATCAAAGCCGTGATTTCTGGTTTCGGTATTTTTGACTAGGTGCTGGCTCATGCTGGGTTGTTGAAATGCTGACAAGTAGGTTATTAACCAAAATGCAAGTCAGACAGGATAGTAAATGCGGGCAGTGGGAACACATGAATTGATAATATTATTCAATATTGCAGATAACGACATAATTGTGCAAGGATCCTCAATATGCTAGGGTGGGAATTGTGTACACCCAGTACAACACGAATTTAAACTAAAACAAAAGGTGACGAACTTGTGAGTTAAAGATTTGCTGGTAGAGTGCTACATCATGCACACAACTTACCTAATAAATTACACCACTTGTCGACTCCTGTCAAACTTCTTGCAGAAGTAGCAGGGCATTATTTGTGTATGTTAACTTATACATGTGAGTAAAATCGTAGGATAGAAATGTATTAACTTAGTATTATTACGACACCTTACGTATTACGTACAAATTAAAACAAGTTTTTAAACACAGTAACACCATCATGCTCCCAGATGTGATTTCAGGAGATGTGATGTTCGCTGTTGTACACAAAAAATAATGGCCAAAATTTCTCTTCAATTTGTGCCTAGGTGTGAATTTAGTTGTGAGGAAGTACTAAATTAACAGTAACACATTTTAACCCCTACTAATACTATTTTAATCGCCAGTCCCATTGACCCTACTGCAAGTAATCCGCTGTAGGTGGAATCTGGGGGTGGGGGTGTAGTTTATTAGATTGGTTGTGCGCTAGCACTAGAATTATAGCCGGTCGCTCCCTGTGGTGGAGCGAAGGGCTATAGTTCTAGAGCTAGTTGTGCGCTAGCCCGATCAGGCTCCACGACTGTTTCACGTAGTGAGACGCGAGAAGGTAACTGTGTAGGCCTACATGCTCATGAGCCATATGCAACACACGGTCACTGCCTAGACTTGCTACCATTGATAGGTCATTGACATTGGTAAGGAGAATGTCGAGATAACCTGATAAATATTGTGTGACGTGTAAGATTCGGTAGTAACCAAGTCTAACACTGGGTCGCAATCGGACGTTTGATCATAATTTGACTGATCGCTGAGCGACTGATTATAGTTCACGTAGCTCTAGTAACTAGAGCCCGCGTACAGTTGCCGCTGGCACCGTCTGCAGCAACTGTACGCGGGCTATAGTACTAGAGCTATATAGTTACTAGTCCGCAAATGCTGACGTTATAACTCCGCTTTGCTAATCTGAGGGTGCGGGTTTATCGTCTGCAGTCACCCTTGTAAAAATTGTTGCAATTTTTGTTGTGGGCATTGGATAGGTGAATCGAGTAGCACTGAGGGCGTGACGGGGGTATATCCGACCCAAAATATCAAGTACAGTTCTGTTTGTCAATATTGCTTTCCGAAGACTTGATCTCCGTTTCAGAACTTTGTTTTCATGCAATAATTCATCCTAGTAAGAGTAACTTCTATATTTTTGGCCATATTCATTTCGATCGGCCAATTAAATTCACTTCCGGTAGTTTCGGGTTCACTCGGAAATAATTAAGATTAACCAGACCATAGATGGCGCAGACTATATTTGAACATCGGGAATAGCCGAAGTAACCGGAAGTGATTTTCATTGGTTGACAAATGTGAATGAAGACAGACCATTTTCTTTGGATGTTTATATTTACCATTACTGCATTAGGTTAACAACTTGATATATTCTTATGTTGTGGCCGCTACCAGGACATCATAGCGTGCATGCACGTAGATAAATGATTCAAGTTCAGATTAAAGTAAGTTCCACGCAATAGGATTGTATATATAGGGCGCATATATTACTTATAAGTGCCACCTCCAAACTGCAGGTGGCTTTCCGTGATTGGATAGACACGGCCGCGGGCCGACCCCATTAATAATAAATGCATTATACTGGGGTCTGCGTCGGCTCGGACTATATTAATTTATTATATATAGTTACTAGAGCTACGGCTGTGCGACGGATTCATTGTCTATACAAAATTTACTATATTCTAACCCTAGCAATACCGTTTCTTGGAGCTATATAATATCACAGGCACTTGGACCGTTTCAATAATAAAATGATGGTTAATAAATACAACTTGTCAGTACTACTAGTAGCCTACTACAGACTCAGTACCAGCAATAGTCTTAATGTTTGATTTGACCTAATAACTTCACTTCAACACGTTAAATACACGGATGAAACATAGCCGCACGCCATTGTGCATGCACAAATACAGAGTAGGTTAGTAGAAGGTAGAAAGCGTTTTCACAGAAATTTCCAGACCGCTCCACTCTTGTCGATGCACTAGAGACGAAATAAACATCCAACCGCCATGATATTGGCATCTGTGTGTAGCTGAATGATCACTTGTTCGAAATATACGTCTTGCAACTTGGTACCATACTTACCAGAATTATATGAGAAATCCTGGTCAAATTTGCCGAATTCCCATGAAGCCGATTTGTAAACCGGACAAGTACATGAGCAATGGCGGCGCATTGCATTCTGGGAGCAATTCTACTGCAATTTTGCTCGCCAGAATGCAATGCGCGCATTGCTCATGTACTTGTCCGGTTTACAAATCGGCTTCATGGGAAATTTGCGGCAACTATTTGAGTCAGGAT